CCACAAAAAAAACTTAAAATCCTTAAAAAAAGTTAAAATTCCCCTGGGATTTTCCATGGAAAAGGAAAAATTCCTGGTCGGGATCTGCTGGATTCGCTAAAAACTGGGAAATCCGAATGAAAAAATTCTTAAATCCAACAAAAAAAAATCAAAGGAAACACAAAAATCCAAAATTTTTCCATTTTTTGAGAAAAAAAATCCTAAAAACCCAACAAAATTTGGGAATTTTTCCATAAAACCCAAGTTTTTATCACTTTCCAGTGTCCCACAATGGAGATTTTCCATCTCTTATCCCATAAAAATCAAAGTTTGATGTAAAAATGGGAATAATTTCATTTCTTTCCCTCAAAAATCAGCATTTTCCCCTCAAAAAACATCATTTTCCTTAAAAAAATCCCAATTATTCCCTCAAAAATGAGAATTTTTACTCTGAAAATTCAGGATTTTCCCTCCAAAATCAACATTTTCCCCTCAAGAATTAGGATTTTCACCTCAAAAATTCAGGATTTTCCCTCAAAATGATGATTTTCCCCGCAAAACTCATAATTTTCCTTAAAAAATCCCAATATTTCCCTCAAAAACCAGAATTTTTTCCCCTCAAAAATCAACATTTTCCCCTCCAAAATCAGCACTTTCCCTTCAAAAATAAACATTTTTCCCTCAAAAATCAGCATTTTCCCTCAAAAACCATCATCTTCCTTAAAAAAAACCCAATTTTTCCCTCAAAAATGAGAATTTTTACTCTGAAAATGCAGGATTTCCCCGCCAAAATCAGTATTTTTCGCCTCAAAAATCAGGATTTTCCCTCAAAATTCATAATTTTCCCTGAAAAATACAAATATTTCCCTCAGAACCAAGCATTTTTACTGTCAAAATTCAGGATTTTCCCTCTAAAACCAACGTTTTCCCCTCATAAATCAGGATTTTCACCTCAAAAATCAGGATTTTCGCTCAAAAACCATCATTTTCCTTAAAAAAATCCCAGTATTTCCCTCAAAAACTAGAATTTTTTCCACTCAAAATTCAGGATTTTCCCTCCAAAACCAAGATTTTTTTTCCCCTCAAAAATCAGCATTTTCCTCTCAAGAATTAACATTTTCCCCTCAAAAATCAACGTTTTCCCCTCAAACCCCAGGATTTCCCCTCAAAATTCAGGATTTTCCCTCAAAACGATGATTTTTTTCCCTCAAAACCCATCATTTTCCTTACTAAAATCCCAATATTTCCCTCAAAAATGACCATTTTCCCCTCCAAATCTCAAAACTTTCCCCGAATCCGGAAATTTCTCCTTAAAAAAAAAAAAAAAATCCCCGATTTTCCCAACATTTTCCCTTCGGATCGTTTCTCCAAATTCCAAACTTTTCCCCTCAAAAAACCGGGAATTTTCCCCTCAAAAAATCCATAAAAATCAGCAACTTTCCCTCCAAAACCTGAATTTTTCCCCCATCCCAGATTTTTTTCCTGAAAAACCTGGAATTTTTCCCGGTTTTTCCCTCACGATCCAGGCTCTTTCCCCAAAACCCGACTCGGAATTCGGGAATTCCAACACTTCCACTGATTTTCCCCTCAGCCCGCGCTTCCAAAATATTCCAAACTCCGCTTTTTTCCCGCTTTTTTCCCCTCACAAAATCCCGATTTTTCCTACCGGCAATGGGATTTAATCCCGATTTCTGAGGCGAAAATTGGAATTTTGGGGGGAAAACCGGGAATTTTGTGAGGGGGGAGTGGTTTCTTTTCCCGATCTTGGAGTTTATTTCTCCCGGTTTTTGGAATCCCACGCGAAAATCTGGGAATTCTTTCCCGGTTTTTGAGATCCCTCCCGAAAATCCGGAGAGGTTTTTTTCCCGGTTCTCGATTTTGGAGGCTCTTCCGTGATTTGAGGGATTCTTTTCCCGGTTCTTTCCCGGGGTTTTGGGAATCCCTTCCCGAGCCTCTGGAATTTCTCCCGGGATTTTGGAGGTCCCTTCCCAAGGTTCTGGGGGTCCCTTCCCAAGGTTCTGAGGGTCCCTTCCCGAGCCTCTGGAATTTCTCCCGGGGTTCTGGGGGGCCCTTCCCGGTTTTCGGGATCCTTTCCCGGTTCTGGAATCCCTTCCCGAGGCTTTGGAATCCCTCCCGGGGCTCTGGGGATCCCTTCCCGAAATCCCCTCCCGGTTCCAGGGATCCCCTCCCGGTTCCGGGGATCCCTTCCCGCTCCCGGGATCCCTTCCCGAAATCCCCTCCCGGTTCCAGGGATCCCCTCCCGGTTCCCGGGATCCCTTCCCGAGGCTCCGGGCTCTCTCCCGCTCCCGTGGTTCCGTCCCCATCTCTCACCCGCCTGCGCCTCCTCCTCCTTGGCCTCGGCCGCGGCCGCTTCGTCCCCGCTGGGCGCCTCCTCCGGCGGCCGCTCGGCCCCGTTCACTCCGCCGGGGCCGCCGCCTCCTCCCGCCGGGGCCGCCTCGGGCTCCGC